GCTATACGAATTCAAGAATTACGAGAGACTTTAGAAATAGTTCGTAGACGGTATCGGCTAATTACACAGCAACTTCTCGATCGAAGTGTAGAGTATGGATTTCGTGTGAGATTTTGTCGTCCTCGTGAGGATTAAGTATAAATTTCCTTTAATGTTCATTGTTTTTATTTATAGTAAATAGTCTTCTCTATATGTTTTTTCTTTTATTTTTTTTTTTATTAATTTTCTTATATTTTAATAAAGTTTTGCATATTATTGCCTTTTGCCCTTTAATAAATTCTTCTAGTAAATTTGTGATCCTATATTGTTATTATTTTACTAAAATATTTTTAAGAATTTCTTTCGCGATATGTGGCGCAGTAATGAAAATCTCTATCAAAATTTTCTATTAAATACTTTTTAGCATGTTTTCTTGATTATCTCAGCATCCAGTAGTCCGTTCGTAATGTAACACATATCGTTTTGAAGAGCGCATTTCGACGTACACGATGGTCCTTGTTTTATGAAATTCCGATCGGTAGATCACGAGAAAATAGCCTCCGTGACATTTGTTTTAATTCGTTACATATATATATATTTTTATTTTTTTTTTATTTTTAGTAGCACAGTAGATTTGTAAAATATGGCTTTCTTTTCCGTATTTTCCATTGATATTCTACCTGAAGAAATCTCTTAAGATTTGGTTGGTAACTATTTTTATTACTAGAGTATTCAAATTTATTAATTTGGGGTAGTTGTTGCAGTAGGTAAATTAATAATGAATTTTCTTGTATCAATTGTTCATTATTAAATGTTTTAGGAATTAATGGGTCTAATTTTCCACAGATATACTCTTCTTTAGGAATATTTTCAGAAATTTGTCTTGGCTGGAGGTCATCATCATTCGTTTCTTCTTTACAAGTCATTGTAGCAGCAGATTCAAGTTTATCATTTTCCATTGACATTTCTTGATACAAGTCATATATTTCTTCACAAAGGTAATCAAAAGTTTGCATTTCAAAATCATTATGGTCATTAAA